ATAATAATACATTGGAAAAGAACTTATTTGGGACCTGATTATTATTGACCTTGCTTTCACATCTATAACTTCTTGAAAATTAATAAGAAATCTTTGAAGTTGAGATTCCGTACAGAATTTTACTCCTCCATGCCAATTAACCACCTACATACATGCCTAAGTTCATGTTTTTACCTAAAAATAGGTCCTTAGCTAATAGGAATATTTACCAACTTGAACAAAAGTGGCTCATATCTATAAGACTAACACATTAGTCGTTTTCCTGACCGAGGTTCAACTTTAACTTTGAATCCAATGCTTAATGGTGGAAAATAACTTTTTCTAGCCTTGAGCAGGCAAGTGGAGAGAGAGAGAATACCATTCACAAAACAAGTGGGAGAGAAAGAGTAACATTCACGAAAGCAAAAAGTTTATATAGAGCTGAGGCTCTAAACTATCAAATTAGAGCCCACCTCAAAAATTTCACTAGAAGAGCTTTTTTGATGCTCAAATATCCTCAAATTGAACATCTCAACATCAAGCATGGACATGAGAAAAAAATTAAATTTCAAGTTTTGGAAATAGTACATCTTATAACTTTTTTTTGGACATACAATTTTCAAGATTTTCAAGTTTTCATATATATATATGCTCGATCTATACTATTTTTTAAGCTCTAAATTTTATAATTAAAGATGAAAAAATATCTTGAGGCTGTCACAAAGATTTCCAGGATTAAAACCACATATCGTGATACTATTTGAAGCTGCGCTCTATTTTGTTTGTTCAGAGCCTCGGCTCTATACAAGCCATACCGTTCACAAAACAAGAGAGAGAGAGAGAGAGAGTTTTGATGCATTGCATGTGGTCATCTCTCGCACCACTTAATGACCAATTGTATACATGGCATGGTCATCCCTCGTGCCACAGAGTTGCGACAGAAAGAGAGTTTTGCTTCATCGCATGTGGACCTCTTTCGAACCCATTACGGACCACTTGGGTTCATGGCACTGTTACCCCCCTCCTACCACCGACGAGAGAGAGAGAGAGAGAGAGGTCCTTCCCATTCCTTTTCACAAATTATAGCCATCATGAGATTCATCGAACAGACCAAATTTGAAGTCACTCCTCCAGCGATAAGAGAGAAATGCTGAAAATGCCAAGTCAAAAACGGTGGAATCATGAGTTAGAAGGCAAGCTGCAATCTAAAACATACAAGAACATTTTCATGAGGACCTCATTCAGTTCGCTGGAAGTGGGTGTCCCGGGGAAATGCCTCTTCTGGAATTGGTATCTTTTGAAGTTGATAGACAATATAATCCTGCTGATTTTTTAAATCTATCATGAACACTGAGTTTTTCAAATGATCTTCAACAAATCATATTTTTTTAATGGAATTGATATTAATCTATTGTCTTTTTTTCAAAAAAAAAAAAACTTCAAAAAGAACTTCTTACTATCTTTGAATTTTGGTTTAGAGTTGAGCACAATAAAAGTGGGAGTACTTTAAAAATCTTGGTTTAACAAAATAATTCCATCCAAAATTTTCACAAATATTTTCCCTTGAAAAAACTTGTATGAAAAAATACAATTAACAAATTCTCTACAATAACAGTCTATCAAATTTACCATATATCTCAAATGTTAGGTAGAGTTAGATGAATGGTTATCCAATGAAATATCTTCTTCTTTTTTTCCCCTCTAAACAAAGAGCGTCATTGTAAAGAGCAAGAAAGTGATTAAGTGACAACTGAAGATTTAGACAGGTAGGCATTCATGGTGAGATTCAAGTATTTGGATTTTCTTATGCATTTCGTTGCCCTCATTACGTATACAGAAGTTTATTGAATTTCATTTTTTCTTCTTTTTTTTCTTAAATTTCATTGGTGTATACAAACAATATTATGGACGGGTCAATATTTCACATTTTTGGGGTTTTGTGTTTCAGTTAACTAGAAGAGTGATTTACATATGGACCCTAAAATTTTAGGTAAAGCACAAAATTCTCTACTAATAGGTAAAAATTACAAAGAAAGTCGGTCAACTCGCGTTCTTTAAATTTTTTTTCAAAATTACCTCTCGGTCAACCTAAATTTTGATGATTTATTTTTTAGCCTTTTTAATTTTTTTGTTAGTGGGACAATGGCCCAAACTTTAAGGCACTGCCCTATTAATATAAAAAATAAAAAATAAAAAAACAAAAATCAAAATTAATAAGAGGAGATAACCTCCAAAAGTACGATAACAAAGATGATGAACTGAGGTGAGAATCCCTACTTCGTAGAAAGATCAACCAATACTCCTGAAACACAAACAATCTCTGAACCTCGAAGATTCCGCACTAGCAACAAGCTCGAGGCCACGCTAACCACTTAATGCAACAAATGTGTACTCCCCCTTGGCCCGAGACCCGACTACTCACCACCACACCACAGCTCCATTCCTTCCACAATAAACACACTGCTGGGGTTGGGATGACATACCGGATACGGCCCAAAGAATCTCGCTTTGCCCATGGTGGCGTCCGAGCGTTGGTGTAACCAGCGGCCAAACGTAGGGTTTAAAAGATTTGGAAAGTAAATCTATGATATGTATTTTATTGTCACAATAAAACAGGCATTGTTATTGTAATTATTGAAAATTTAGAGAAAAATGTGTTAAATACTCCTATAGTTATACTATGGAATGGCGTAAAATTATTGTTCAATAGTTTTTATGCGAACATACCGGTGGTTTAAAAAACGGATCGGTGGCCTGGATCAGGCACCGCAAAAGTGAATCGACGATCCGGATCAGGAATCGGTTGGATTAAGCTTAAAAAAAATCTAAAAAAATTATTAAAATTCATTATAAATGTTGTCTTTTAGGAATCCAATAAGAAATCGGGGTACTACATTATTAATTTTTATTTTTTCATAAATATGTGAATATTGAGATGTTTTTGCTTTGTATGAACTTATTTTGACTATTAAATTTACATCACACAAAAAAAAAATCATAGAATTATCATGGATGAAATATATAATCATAGATGGACTATAATAAAGAATTGTTTTAATCGATAAAAAATGACCACCAAAATCTCGAATTGGTGGAGAACATTATATACTGAAATTGAATTTGTTGGTTTACATTTTATAATTATTTTATTATACAAATAATAACAAATCCAACCTCTTATTTTTTTACAATAAATATTTGTTGTATTACTTTTGATCTCTTTTTTTTTTTGACAAAACCTTTTATTTCTTATGACAATAACTTTTTATTTATTTATTTACAAGAAATGCTTGTCATATTAGTTTTTTTTTTTTTAACGAGAACTTTTTTTTTTTTTTACAAAGAATACTTGTTGTATAACCTTTTTTTTTTTACAAGAACCTTATATTTTTTTACAATAAACTTTTATTTTTTGACAAGAAAAAGAAATTTTGTTGTATTACCTTTTATTTTTATTTTTTTTACAAGAATCTTATATTTTTTTTACAATAAGCTTTTATTTTTTGACAAGAAATTGTTTTTTTGTTGCATTACCTTTCTTCTTCTTTTTTTACCAGAACCTTATATTTTTTTTAACAAAAATTATATTTTTTTATAAAAAATTTTTATTTTTTTGTAAAAAAAAATTATTTTGTAAAAAGGAAAAAATTAATTTGTTTGTGAAGGATTGATGACGCCTGAGGTCACTCAATAATTATATCATATTTCTTTCTGAGCTATTACCTTGGCGCAATTGTCCTCCATCGAACCCACATAACAAATTTGGTAAGGATAAATAGTCTTCTACTACCAAAGCTAGTCGTACGCAAAATGCACGTAGTATGGGTTTGTGATGGAGCACGTGTTTTTTACAATGGGTACCCATATATGAGGTTGCAACCTTAAAATGTAGAATCACATATGCACCTCAAAAATCCATAGGAAAATGTTGTTTTAATGTTTTCAACCGACTAATTGATCATCTAGATATCGAGATGTATGAATATTTTAAAAAAAAAAGATTTTGAGTTCCAAAAATCATATATGAGGTTGCAACCTTAAAATGTAGAATCACATATACACCTCAAAAAATCCATAGGAAAAGGTTGTTTTAATGTTTTTCAACCCACTAATTGATCATCTAGATATCGAAATGTATGAATATTTAAAAAAAAAAGAAATTTAAGTTCCAAAAATAGTACATCTTGCAACACAATATCTAGACTGTTTATTTTCAAGATTTTCATATGTTTATAGATCTTCTTGGTTTTAACCATTTTTGGAGTTTAAAATTTTATAAATAGATATGAAAATAGATTTTGAGATAACCCTAAGAATTTTTTACACCAAAATTACATGTTATGATAAAATTTGGAGGCGCACCTTAATTGAATTGTTTAAGGTTACAACCTTATAGAAACCACACCCTTTGAATATTATTCTATTTTTTGAGCCAAATTCGAAATATTCTCTAACTTCCCTTATTTTTTGTGTTAAGTATTTTTGAACCAATTTTTTGCCTCTAACTTTATAAAACAAAATTGATTTAGTTCATATATTTTAACTCACCGATATATTGCTATTCCCTAACTTGCTTAACTTTGGTTTCAACCACTCGTCTGCATTTTTAAACGTAACAAAAATACAATTGAAATTTCGAGCACAAGAGTTTTTCTTATTTAGGTAATTCAGGTAACAAAAATACAATTGAAATTTTGAACACAAGGAGTTATTTTTGGTGACCCCAGTCCCTTTACCAGAACTAGAGTTTTTGTGTATTTCAAAACGCTAGGAGTGACTTCTGTGATACCCCAATAAATGTCGGGCTCAATTGTAATTGACTAAAACCAGACAAGACGAACCGACAAGGCAAGCCCATACGTTATAATAAAAAAAGAATAAATAACAAAGTCAAATAAAAATATCATCGAGTCAAAAATGAGCGCGCCAAACACTCACTCTTGACTTCTACTCCCAGTTGACGACGGTGAACTTGATTTATAGAGAGAGAAAGAGAAGAAAGAGATCGAGGGAGAGTTTTAGAGAGAGATCCTCGACTATTAAATGCACCGTTCCATGTCCACTGATACACGTTTAGTAGCTTCAGAGCCTAAGCATCGACGAAGCCGCTCTATGAGGGCGACGGTGACGCTTTAACAATGACGATGGCACGCCGATGGTGTTTGTTGTTTCAGCTCTCTCTCTCTCTCTCTCTCTCTCTAAAATCTCTCTCTTTTTCTCTCTCCTGTAACAACGTTCTATTTACTTAAAGGTGTACAGCCCAAGTCGTCGCCTTTGCTGAAGTCTTCGAATTCATGCAACTGTCATGAATCCCCACTCTTTTATTGGCATATCCATTACCCAAAAGGCCAATTCACACTTGAATTCTCTTCTTCCCTCCAACTCCATGATTCTTTATTCTGAATTCCACTCTTTGTAGCGAGAGAAAAACCAAACCTAAATGCAAGTTGCTTACTTCCCCTCACCAGCAAAGAAGGAAACTCAAGCAGCGGTTTAATGGATTCCCGTCACCATGTTTCGGTCCAAGAAAAGGTGCATATTTTAATCGCAAGATTCAATGTCTTTGAACTCAACATTACTGTAAAATTTTGTAAAAATTGTAAAATAAAATGTTTTCATTTGTGCAGGTAATGGATCTTGAAGCTGAACTGGAAAGAATGAGTAGAGAGAACGAGAAGCTTAATGTTATGCTCGGTCTCATGAACCAAGACTGCAATAGCTTGAGGAGTCGATTAATGGAAACAGAGGTTGCAGACGGTGACAATAATAAGGAATCGATGATACCCCGAAAGAGAAAGGGGGCCATTCAAGTTACAGAGAGTAGCTCAAGTGAAGATTCAAACAAGAAGATGAGAGAATCGCCGAAATCGAAAGTTTCGCAATTTTGTTTGAGAACGGATCCATCGGATACAAGCCTTGTAAGAATCGCTTCAATCTCATTCATGGGCTCATTGAATTCGAGATCGAGAGAGAGAGAGAGACAGTAATCCAAGAGGATTTCATTGTGAATAGTTTAGTTAAGAGTGTCTGTTGAGTGAGAAAGTAAGGAATTGGGAGGATTTAGAAAGTTGGATTGTTTTAATATTTTGCAGATACTGAGAGATGGGTGTCAATGGAGGAAGTATGGGCAGAAGGTTACAAGAGATAACCCTTCACCTCGAGCTTATTATAGGTGTTCCATGGCTCCTGGTTGCCCCGTTAAGAAGAAGGTATTTCTCTC